GTCATAGTGTTTACATATCTTAAAAATAACTCTTTATTGGCAATGCATCTATGGATCATGAAGAACCTTTCACCTCTAACGTTTTTATTGCACAAAATGTTCTGCATGAAAAATTGTTCATTGGTGGGTTTTTTTTAAGAGCTGTTTACAAAAGGTTCTTTGGGAACCCAAAATTCCTCTATGCCATAGCAACAAAAAACATCTTTTTGGAAATTATACGTCCCTAACTGTAGCCCGGAAGTTTATTTTCACCATTCAAAATTATTTTGTGGTAATCAACATTATGCCACAAATGATGCTAAGTGATCTTAATGTGAGATATTCCTTTAAATCTCCGACTGATCTCATGAAGTAGCGTGTGTATGACACGCCAATTCGTATTTCTATTTTTGGCGTGCTATCAAGACGCATAATCGCCTTTCAGCGTGTTTATGAACGCCGTTGACTTAACGTTACATAAATATATGACTTACCTCAACCCCGTCCCTAAACCTAACCGTCACTGGGGTTAATGGCATTTATGACTGTTCCCTTACCATCCTAGGTAAAAAAAAGATATGACTTACCTCAACCCCATCCCTAAACTTAACCGTCACTGGGGTTAATGGCATTTATGACTGGAGATTTGACTGCGTGTACAGACACGCGGAATGACGTGGACGTTAATGGCGTAGACATACACGCATACACGCGGATACACCCGGATAGCTCAAAATGCGTAGAGATGACACGCCACCTGACTCGAAAGTGGCGTATATGTTTACGCAAAAGTCATGATGTCATGTTGTTCATCTGAATGAGCTGTTTCTTTTTGTGTGCATTAAATGCTATTTTGTCATCATATTGCATATATTCACAAATCCATGCTGAAGTCAATTGTCACTTTTCACAAGGTTTAAATGCATATTTGAGCTGTTTTAACTGAAAGCAACTTGCACTGACATATCTTAAAATATATAAGTGCCATTATTTTGTCTCAAGATGCACATTAGTATTGTTTGGTAAGGGAAAAAAAAAACTACTTAAATGTCATAATTAAACTGAGGCCTAATCATGGCTTTAAGGACAACTCCGGCACAAAATGAACCTTTGGTCTGACAACACATTGGCACCTAGTCAACCGTTCTCTGAGATTTGTTTTCATGATAATCGAATGTAAAGAGTTTATCTCTAAAAACTGTTTCACGTATAACGCTAGTATACAAGGCATAGAGCAGGGGTCTCAAACTCAACTTAACTGGGGGCCGCTGGAGATAGAGTCTGGGTCAGACTGGGCCGCATCAAGTATTCCAAAAAAAAAAAAAAAAAAATTATTTAAGTATTCCCAGCCCATTCTCACCCCCAAGGCGTCACCTAACTGACGCCTTGGGAAGCATTTTGACCATGCTTCAATATCTGACGCTTTAGGCGCCCTTTAGCGTCAGTTAGATGCCGCCCTAGGATTGCGTGTACCCTACCCCCACCCCACACCTAAACCTAACCGCGTCATCTAACTGGCGCTTTCCTTTAACGTCAGTTAGATGACGCCATAGGATCGCGTCATATAACTGACGCTAAAGGGCGCCTAAAATGTCAAATATTGAAGCATGGTCAAAGGTGACGCCTTGGGGTGAGAATGCGTTGGTATTCCAAAAATCGAGCACAACTGATCCAATCTTCTCAATCTTTATCATTAAAGGGTAACTAAACACCAAAACAACTTTTTTTAGTTAATGATCTGTAAGAATGGAGCTTCATAAATGCTGTTCATTGATTCGAGTACATTTTTTGACAATTGAGTATAAAGTGTTTTGATTTTCAAATATATGGTGTAAAAACGTCTGAGTGCTGCCCTCTTCAGGTTAAACGGAAAGCTCCTGCAGTAGGGGTACTTGCTGACGTAGCGAACTCTCAGACGCACTCTGTCACACCCTTGGTGCGAGCTCACCACGCCCTTGGCAGCCCCTGGTATAAAAGCATCTGGTTCCGTCAAAACTACTGTAGCGAGTCAGGAGTTGGATTTATGAATATTGAAAACGATCAGGATACTATAGCATATAATAGCATCTAGTTAGCATAGCATTTATATAGTTATTTAGATTATTTTTGAAAACGACCAGGATAGAGTATTGTTGCATCTATTTAGCATAGCATTATATAGATAATTTAGATTATTTTGTGTAGCTAGTAGCATAGTACAGTTAGGATAGCTTCAAGTTAGCATAGATTTATCAGTGTTTAGTACAGTGATCAGGATAGTAACGGAATAGAGGTGGACATGGGCTTCTCCACACGCAGTGCCAAACACTGCTCGTCCTGCATGGACTCCTCCACCGCAGCGGCGTCTTGATGTGAGTGATCATGGATATTTTAATCACAATTTATGGTTAGGATAAAGTTAATCCTCTAGGGTCGACAAACGAGCCGGTGCATTTTGCTGGATTTTTTCATATAGCGGCATAATATCAATAGCGTGCGCTATTGAGATCAACTCGACGACATAAGTCATCAGATGCCGGTCGCGATGCGGGAGTTAAGACCGCAGTTTGAGCCAGCGGCTCGAATGGATTTGGCCCATACATACAATTCACCCTCATCCACTTCAGGTGAAGGTGAAGGTGAGGGAGAAAAGTCCTCGACTTCAAATGGCCGCTCTGTTGCAAAGGCAGCTATTGAGTCACTCCAGACTAGTCTCGCTCTATTTTAGAGTCTGACAGCAGCTGTCACTCACGGCGGGTCTCAGGTGCACGCCCCCTAGCCCCGCTGGGGTCTGCCCATTTTTTCAGCATTTTTCAAATATTGCTAGTGGGTGGAGTCAGGCTCTGACCAGGGGTTTAGTTACCCTTTAAAGTTTCTTCTGAACTGTTCCTCTGAATTTGAACATTCCTTTCTGTACATGATTGGTTCTTCATGAGCTGCCTTTCTGACAGTTGAAGTTAATTTTACAAACTTTATTTGTCTTTTTCTTATACACAGCATCTTTGTGATAGTCATATTTGCTTTTTATTTTCTTTATACAACACTATTATATTGAATGTGTTTTTTTTTTTTTTTTTTTTTTTCGGTAGGCACATTTCCTTTTATTATACTTAGAAACAGTCCACTTCGTTTATACAGGCAGGAGCCATCTTTGGAAAACAGTCTCGACAAGTCGAAACACGAAAGCCATGCTAAGTGAGCTGAACGTTCAGCGAACTTCTGAACTTTATGAATGGCGTCCGTGGTATGAACCTGCGGTATGGTATGAACCTACGTGGTATGAACCTAGTCGACCGTTCTCTGAGATTTGTTTTAATGACAATCGGATGTAGAGTTTTATCTCTACAAACTATTTAGCGTATAACGCTAGTATATAAGGCATAGAGTAATGAAAAATAAAAATCGCTAGTTAATATTACTAACAAGGCTCAAAATAGCCCCACACTAACACAGTAACATGATGGGGGTCCCTACATGCAAATCGAAGCATTGAGAACTTTGTAAATGTACAGACAGTTTAAAGATGAACTGAACTGAAAAATATCGACGTTGAAAACGTGTTGTTTATGACAATTAAAAGTAAATTACACTAAACATTTTTTAAAAATATATATTAATATAGCTTTTTTAAGCAACGCAAAATTGCGCTTGTTAGCGCTGGCAGTTCCGATGACGTCACTGGCATGGTAGGACCTGCGGAGCGCCATAGACAACAGCTGTAGGTCCTGTACACAGACTAAAATGAGCGCTTTTAACGGCATGGATTACGCATTTGAGCCCGTGAGGGACAGGCCGGTAGTGTCTAACTACCACCACATGGAGGACGATCAGTTTCAGGCTTCACTTACAGTACAGGATCGTTTGGGGGAAAGTGACTGTGGGCGCGAGCGCTGTGGAGCATAGACACTGCACGGAGACGATCTGTTGCAGAGAGGTCAACATGGACATTTATTGATCGGCGAAAAATGCATCACCATGCACCGTTCATTTCGGATGCTGTTCGGTGAGAGAAACGTGTTGAAGGAGGCTATGCTGTCTCTTAAGGATGTCCGAGCTGAGACGCTGGACCGCCCCATAAGTAGCAGGGTATTTTACGAATAGGTGACGGCTGGGCTAACTTGTTAGACTTTTCTCAGACTGTTTAGATCAGCCTTTCTCAAACTTTTTTCAGTCAGGGCACCTTTCAAAAGTGCATAAAATCTCAAGGCACCCCAGTGTAAAATATAATTTAAAAACACTGCATAACCCAAATTTAAATGCAAATGTCTTGTTTAGTTAGACAGAACAGTAATGAACAGAGAAATAATATGAACTGTAAATAACAATAATAATAAAAACTTTATAGCACCTTTAAAAACACAGGTTTGGAAAGTAATTCACAAAATAATTAATCAGAGACACAAATGCCATAAAACCGTAAGAGGTGGACCGCCCAATACAAGAACCCAATAACAAATCCAGACCAGGAGAACTCAAATGAAGTGCAGGATGCAGATAAAATAAAATAAAAATCCCCGGCTCTTGTGGGGATTTTCTTTTC